CTCAATGGGAAGGTATATATACATAAAGCAAATAAGATAAATTTGAAGAGAGAAACCGACAACAATATAAACAGTCAGAAGCTTCAGTGTCCTGCTCTCAATGATGGATAGAAGGTCCAGAGAGAAAATCATTAAACAAAGCGCTGGCTTGAACAACACTATGTATTAAATGGATCTTATGCAGACATATGAGGAATTTTATAATCCAAAACAGAAGGAAGTCCATACCTGGAAATGTACATGGAAAAGTCTCCAGAGTAGATCACTTGTTAAGTCACAGAATACAAATCAACAAATTTTAAAAGATAAAAACTATGCCAACCACCTTTTCTGATCACAGTGGAATAGAAAGAGGAATCAGTAAGCAAGTGGAAAAATTCACACAGCGTGGAAACTAAACAGCAGGCTCGAGGCTCCAGCGTTACTTGTAAAAGCTGAAGCTGTTTTGGTTATTGACCCTCCGCCACCTGTTTTTCTCTCTGGAAACTTGTGGACATTCTCTTTACCTCATTATTCTGACATTTTGTGGTCCAGGCCTTTGGCATCTGTTTATTTTTATCACTATACTGAGTGCTCAGTGAACCTTTTCAATCTGAAACAGGTCTTTCAACCTTGAAATACTTTCTGTAAGTGTTCCGTAATTTCTTCCTGTTTTCTTTGTTCCTTCTTTATGGAACTTTTTGTTATTTAACACTTAATTTTTGCACCCAGCATGGTGGTGCACACGTGTAATCTCAGTACTCACGAGGCTGAAGCAGGAAGATTGTTGCAAATTTGAGACCAGCCTGGCCTCCAAAGTGAGCTCAAGGCCAGCCTGAATTGTACAGTGAAATCTTGTCTCAAAAAGCCAAAAGAAAAAAAGAAAAAGAAAAGAAAATAGAAAAACCGCAAAATTTAATTTTTCTTCTTCTCTTCCATTTCTTTTTCCTGTTATTCTATTTCTTTGATTTTTCTTCAGTTTTTGTCTTCCAAATTTTTCATTTTTTCTATTATCCCTAAGATTTTATTAAAATGTCTGTGACTCTTCTTTTTTAAGCATCACACTTTTCTTGTTTTATGGTTCAGTTCTATCCGTTGCTCTCTAACATACTAGAGTCATTTTTGAAGTTATCCCTTCCTAAAATCACATAGGTTTTGTGTTCTCCAAGATTTTTTCCTCTCCTATTTTTTTTTGTCTCTCTCTTTTTAAAAGTTTTTTCAAATACCTACTTTTATGCTTGTTCTTATCCAGTTCCTCCTATGTCAGAGTGTTTCACTACAACAAAAACTACTTAGGAACTTGCATTCATTTGTGAAACCTGTCAGGTGTTGTTGTAATGGTGCTGTGGCTCGGGGATTTCCAGCTCTAGCAGGTTTACCCTACGTAGACCGACGTAGACTCTGTACTGGGCGGGCTACTCAAAAGAGTCTCTCTCTCTCTCTCTCTCTCTCTCTCTCTCTCTCTCTCTCTCTGTGTGTGTGTGTCTCTCTCTCTGTCTCTCTGTGTCTCTCTCTCTGTCTCTGTGTCTCTCTCTGTCTCTCTGTGTCTCTCTCTCTGTCTCTGTGTCTCTCTCTCTCTCTCTGTGTCTCTCTCTCTCTCTCTCTCTCTCTGTGTCTCTCTGTCTCTCTGTCTCTCTCTCTCTCCCTCTCGCTCCCTCCCTCTTTTCCCTCTCATTTCCTCTCACTCCTACATTATCTCCTGCATTTGACTTTTGGCATTTTTTCCATGGTGCCCAGATATGATTCTCTTCCTGTTTTATCTTACACCGAGTCCATTTCATTTCCTGACTTTCTAAATTAATGTTATTCACTAATATCAAGGAATGTTCACCCATTTTTTTCTTCAAATGATTTTTCCAAGCTTTTTGCTCCCTCCGTTTCCTCTTCTTCTTCCTCCCCGTTTCTTCTTCTCCTATTGCTTTTGGTCTGGACAGTTTCCATGGTCTCACAGATCTCTCTGGCTGTACTATTTCCTTAGGTCTTCTTGGTCTCTGGGCTTGGGATTTTATGACTTTTATTACTGTCTTGAGATTTACAGCCTCTGTCTCCTGCCACTTGTGATCTGCTGTTGAGCCCATTTCATGACTTTTTAGTTTTACTTTTTATACTTTTTTAGCTCTCAAAATTCCATTTAAAAAATAATCTCCATTTTAAGATTCCCTATTTGTGGACTTCTGTTAACATAATTTATTTAAATATTTGAACATAGTTTTCTTAATTTCTTGCACATATCTATAACAGCTGTTTTGAATTCTTTTCAGCACCTATTGACTGTTTTATTTTTCTTGGCACATTTTCCTAGTTTATTTTTCATTCCTAGTAATTTCTGATTGCGAGCTGAACATTGCAATGATTCAAATTTCTGTTTTATTTTCTTGAAAGCTATTTGTGTTTTGTTTTAGTAAATTAATCTGGTTCTAAATCACAGATTTAGTCTCTTCCATGGTGTGCAACTGCCAATATCGAAGACTGCTGGCCATTCAGATATAGTAGCAGACTCTTCTCAATTTGTTTTCTCCTTTGGTTATTTTTCTCTCACTTTTTGCAGGCATCTTTTGGGTTTCCCCTACCCACAGTCTCACTCATGCATATTGAAGCAGTCATTTAGGAATGGATAGGACATTTATTATCTCAGCTCTTGCATAACCCTCTTGTCTGCAAGGAGCTCCCCATTGCTATTCTGGTTGACTGTCCACACTGAACTGAGATACAATGTCAAGCGGACAAAGCTGCAGCTTTTCACTTCCTGTCTAGATTTGAGTCTATGGGCTTTAGCCCATAAAACTACAGGTTTTCACCTTCCCACCTCACACCAAATCCACTGTGCCCAGCTGCTGTGTGCTCTGACAGCCACTTTCCAATAAACCTGTGCATTTCTTTATCCAGCGTGGCAGGGGAACCCCAGGAAAGAATACTACAAACTGCTGGCCATTCAGATACAGCAGCAGATTCTTCCCAATTCATTTTTTGGTTATTTTCCAGAACCCTAACATGGGGATTTTTTTTTTTTTTGGCAATTTCACCTAGTTTTATATTTGTTTCTTTGAAAAGAAATTTCCCAACTTCTCATGCTACCATCCTTGAGGTGGATCTTAGATTGGATGTTTTAGGTTTTTGTTTTTTTACTCATGTATTCTATTGACCACAGCTTTGATTCTGATTAGAGATGAACTGGTGCCAGGAGGCTGGTCTAGACTCGTGGAAGGAGAGTGCTGAATTTTGCATGTCACCTCAAATGTGCAAAAATAAATGGGAGCGGTGAGGCGGATCACTTCAGAGCTGGGTGTGAGTCTCAGTCCGGCCCTGAGGGACCTGTCTGTGGTCTTCAACAACTGTGTCTAACGAAGGACAGACACCTCAGCCATGCTTCTTCCTGTCTCACTCCAGGTCCTCTGTGCGCCTCCCTTCAGCCTTTCCCATGGACGCCAAGATAGTGCACATGGCGAGAGAGAACGTTCACTTCTGCTCAGACACCTGGCACTCAGTCTCCATGTCATTTCCTTGTGCTTTTCTAAGTAGCTGCTGAACTCTCTCTCTCTCTCTCTCTCTCTCTCTCTCTCTCTCTCTCTGTATTGAAGAGACCGAGGACTTCTCTCTAGGCCACACTCAGGCCACCACAGTTAAACCTCTCCTCACTGCAAACTCTCACATCCCCTCCCACTCTAACAGTGTATGTTTTATTTTTCGTAGCCTCAGGTCTAAGTTTATAGACTTGAGTTGTACACAAATTATATATTCAGGCCCCATGGATAAAGCAGTAGAGGGAAGTGCAGTAGCTTCGTAAGATCTCTGTTCAGTAAAATATTCAACCTAGGAATCTGTCTGAGAAGCAGTTTGCAGAATTCTTAGCCAAGCCACCCCCTTGATAATGTCTGTCAGTGATTCCTGGTGGGGTTATTGCTCTTGCCTTTGTGCCCTCCTAGGCTTCTATAGCTGAATGCAGCTATGCCCCAGTAGCTGACTGTGCCCCAGTTACAACCATCTTTCACCAGATGCTCTCTCCAAGCCAGTGCATGTTTGTAGCTACATCCCCAGCCCGTAGCATGGTTATGCCAGCAGAGCAGATGATCAGAAAATTTCTTGCATTAATGAAATTTAAATAGGGAGCTGGAGTATTCTCATCACAAATCAGTAACTTTTAAAATCATAAATTTAAGGAGTTTGAAATTCTCTCAACTTGTATTTATCATTAGGTCCAACTTATACATGTCAGGAGGCCACTTAAGTGTTCACTGCCATACACTGAGCATGCCCAAGGTGCTGGAATTTTCCTAAGTGTTTTGCAGCGAACTACAGGAGAAGACGAAGCAGCATTCAAGACCAAATTTGGGAGTTAGATTAGGTGTACTCACACCGGTTTCCATACACACTAAATACTGTGATAGGCACCTTACACACATGAACCCACTTATTTTCACAAAAACCCTTTTGGAGAAATGAAGCAAGTTGCTTTCACAGTGTCTTAAAATCCAAGAACTCTGTGTTGCTGTTGCTACTGTGAACACTTCTTAAAAACTTTTCCTCTTAGCCCTGACTTGGAGGAAAGAAGCTCTGGATTGGGGCTGTGGCACAGAAACTGGTGGGTCTTCCGAAGCCCCCTTAAGGGTCCCAGACCACCAGGGACTGGAAGGACTCCCCTGGCTCTCCCTGATGGTTGGAGGAGAAACCATGGAGAGGTGGCTCACCGTGTCTCTGGGCCAGCAATCTATGGGACCGCTCAGCAGCCTGCTCGGTCCTATGGGTCCCTGGACTGCTGGGGAGCAGGACAGTCCCTCACGACTCCAGATGCCAGACTCCTGTCTCTGCTCCTCCAGCTTTTCATAGCCAAATGAAGCAGCGTGATTGGAGCAGCACTGAGGTCAGATCAGCTACTTGCTCTGATGCTGCAAAACCCAGGAGACATTTGCACTTACTGAGCACTGATTTCATAGCACCCTTCACGCTCACCCTACGGCTTACTGTACACAGCATCCTGTGGCCTAGCTATTATTAGCATCATTTAAAAGACAAAACCAAGCCAGCAAGGCTGAGCGAATGCTGCCCCGGCTCCCACAGGTGGCTGGCACAGGCAAGGCCTGGGCTCTTTGCCTGCAAGACAAGCAAAGTGCTCTGTAGTTGGTTGGAGGTTTTCCAGATTTGCCAGGCCTACCAGACTTGGTGTGGGAAATTTCTAGCCAGGCCACTGAACCAAAACCTTTCCAGATGAAGTAGATGTCTACTAGAGAAACCTCTGGGGGGCGGAGGGGCACCATAACCAGCGTGGCCCAAGGCCAGCGGAAGATCATCTGCTTGTGGGCCTTTCTTTCTGGGGAAGAGCCGCCGTGGGATCCAGTGGGATCCAGTGGGATCCAGTCCAGCCCACAGAGGACTTCACAGTGCCCACAGGAGAGGGCTCACGTTGACCAGCTCCTGAGTGGCAGCCGCTGGAGCTCTGATCACAGACAGGACGCTGACGCCACTACCCACTGCCACAGGAAGCCTCGAGCTACACCAACTGATCCAGAGGAGACAGATCCTCCTGGGGATGGGCTTTCTCTTTAGACCTGCTGCTTACAGCCAGAAGGGCGCTGACCTCTGACGAGCCACGGGGAGCAGTCGCTGAAGCCCTGCGAGGTACGTCTCTGTGCGTTCTGCTTCCCGGCATCTCTCATCTTTAACTTGCTCTAGATGCTCTGAGGCCAAGCTGTCTGATGATCGGGCAGAGACATCGCCCTGGGATTTGGAGGTGGAGAACAAGGCCATGTGTTGGCTGTGGATAGGCTGCTCTGACCCCTTTCCATCTCAGAGATGTTTTGATTTAAAAAGGTCATCCATACAAGATGGAGTCTGCATTGGGGCTGGGCTGCAGGAGGGAGATGACGGGGGCACACAGAGCAGCTGTGGAGCTGGAGGTCAGGGACTCGGCCTCCCTGGAAAGGGGCCAGTAATATTCACTGGGCACAGCCTTGTGAGGTGGCAACAACACATGGGAGCATCTGACAGGCTTTCGGTTTGCTCGGTTTGTTTTGGAGGGAGATGATTCTGTCTGGGGCCTGTAAGTGTTGGTGTGACTGAACGGATTTAGTGGTAACCATTTTGGCCTAGACTTCTATTACATCTGGAAAGGAAAGAATAGTTGAAAACATATTTTGAGAGGATCCTTAAAGTTTCTAGGGCCTTGATAGTTTTTCTATTCACTTTGTAATTGGCCATTGATTTTACCCCACTGACCCATGCTACACGGGAGCTGAAGACTGTTACCGTATGGGTGTGTCGTCTTTGGGAATTCCCTAGATACACGTGGGTGCCCCTGCAGTGCCTATCCCTGCACCTAGAGTAAGGACGGAACCCAGAGCTGTGCTGTGCAGGACCCTGCAGACAGCAGCTGAGCTGAGTGACGAGGCGGCCAGCGTCTCGAGAGGGGGACCTGTGTCTGTGCAGCAGCTCCCGCCTAGGGAGACTGGGAGGGAGGCCAGGCCACACGGAGCTCTACTGTGTGCTGAAGGCTGTGGGGATGCAGGGTGGCTATGGTGGCTGAGGTGGGACCTGTAACAGATGTGACAGGAGAGGTCCTTGAGGCTCAGCTATTATCACCACCCACATTTCAGTGTTGATTTTCATCTCTGAATTTTGTGATTTTCATCTCAGTATTTTGATTTTCATCTAATTTGTTGCCTTCCTGCAGCTTCATAATTCGCTGGCTTCCAAAACCGTGCTAATCTGGCTGAGGCATCGCTTCTGAGTGGGGTGCACCTGCCACGCCTGCACTGCAGGGGTGGGGTCCAGGCCCATCTGTCTCATTTCCTCGCCACACACCTGTGCCTCACGGAAGGATGCTGGCCAGAGCAGGGGCCTCCCCCAAACACAGGCTGGCTCCCTAGGCCCTTGTTCTGCCCTGGGGGCCTCAGTGTACTCTGGGGAGAATTTTCATCTTCCACATTACAGAAGTGGGGATGGTGGCACCCAGGGGACCGCAGATTTAACCCAGCTACAGTCTTGGGGGAGAATGGTAAAAACACAAAAGGTCACCAAAAAGTTTAGAGAGAAAGCAGGGACCACTGGGCCAAGAACAACAGTTTCCCCAAGAGTAATTAGCATTGGACCGCTTCTATTCTGAGGCAGAATGAGCATAATTTATTTTTTAAAAAAAACTTTTTATTTTATTTTGGAGTAATTCTAGACTTGCTGAGAAATCACAAAGGTAATTTTCAGCCAGGTTCCCATAATGTTAACATCTAACTTAACCACGGTCCACCTGCTGGAGCTACAATGTTAACAGCCGTACAATAGCGTGAATCAGACTCCAAACTGTGAGGATGAAACCTGTTTTTTCACTACTGACTTCTGTTGCTTTTGTTCTAGGATCTGATCTAGCATGTGAGTCCTGAGTTTGCCTCGTTGTCTTAGTTTTGTTCTGATCTGTGGCGGTTCCCCATCTTCCCTCTTCCTTTATGAGCCTGCCAGTCTGGAAACTTGAGCCTGTGGAAACTGTGCCTCGATTTAGATTTATCTGCTCTTTCCCGTTGGCCTACATAGTGGGTTTTAAGGAAGAATTGAAGCACAGCAGAAGTCCATGGTAGTCATAACCTAGCTGTGCTGTGGCCTGTGTCCCTCCCTATGCATTGGGGCCACACCCACAACCCCAGCAGAGCTGAGCACTGAAAAGAACCACAGCGCAAGCCCAGAGCTTGGTGGCGCAGAGAAGGGTCCTCCCATCCCTGCGTGGTTCCCGGTGTCCCCTGCTAAGGAGCCCTGTGTCCTTTGGGTCTTGTTGTCCCCATTCTCTGTGGCCTCTTTGCACACCTGACACCTGGGCTGGGAGACATGCTGGGACTAGGAGGAAACAAGATGTGTCCCAAAGAGACACATCTTGGGACAGGCATGCCGAATGGTTTCTTGGAGCCTGTGAGGTCCCTGAACTTGTAGGCCATTGTGTGAGGGTGAGGATTTTCTCTCCAGTGCATTTGTGGCCTTCATCAGCTTCCCAGAGGTGCCTGCCAGTCCAGTAATGATTGGTGTCACCACGTCGGATGTTCAATGAGGATAACCTACACTTGCCTCTCGGTGTGTTGTGGCCGTGAGGTGTGGAAAGGGTCTGGGCAGAGAAGTCAAGTGAAAGTGGTCATGTCCTGGTGGCTGCTGACCAGGAGGCCAGAGTTCAAGCTTCAGTCTCACCTCACTGTGTGGTAGCAGCCTGGTCCTTCCTCGGGGACTTACTTCTTTACATGTTGATAATAGGGCAGCACGATCTTCTCCAAGGTAAACCCTAAAGCTCCTTCCTTGGGCGAGTTGTACTTCTATAGTGAGCACCAGTTCCATTCTTCTGATGCCGCTCAAATCTCAGTATCAAAGTCACTGGGAGATCTTTGTAGTTAGAAAAAGGCACATTTTATAGGACGACTTTTTTATTGATTTTTTGGGCATAATATGTATTTTGAAATCTCATAAAGGAGAGCATGGCTTAGTGATGTTTCTAAGGAAGAGATGAGTTTACTGCAGTAGAGAAACATGAAGCTCCATGTTTTGAGTGTCCCCAGGTCAGGCTGACCAAGGGTTGTGTTTGGATCTCAGTGCTTGGACTGCTCAGAGAAGTGCATTCCCTGAGGCAGATGTGGGAATCCTGTCCTGGAGTGACCATACTGCCCCTGGCCTGTGCTGAGAGCTGCAAAATGAACCAAGTGGGAAACTCACCATCATGCTTATGTTTACTGCACTTCACCATGTTTGATCTGAGACCTCTCTGGAAGGAGCAGACTCCAGATCTGGAAGGTCATCACCTCTCCAGGGCAGGGCGTGGCCTTCAAGCCCCATCTTTCCCACTCTTTGCTGCGGACTCCAGGACCCACAGGGCCAAGCTTGCACCTAACCCTTAGGAACTGTGTGTAAGTCTCGGAGTCAGCTTTCTGCCGCATTCATTTACTGCCATAACTCACACTCCAGTCTGATTTCTTTTTCTATCTTTTCTCTTTTTGTCTGGTATTTATTTTTATAAGTGTTCTCAACTCTTTTTTTTTTTTTTGAAATGCCAGGAGATGCATGAATGAATAGACACAGGACAGCATTTCTGGAAAAACCCAATGTATTTAATAAGTACTCTGTAAAAATCAACTCTAGTCCATGATCCGTGCGTGGAAAAACCCTGCAGAGAAACATTCAGCCAGAGTCTGTGGTAGTAGACAAATAGCTAAAGTTTAAGTTGCCTCTTTTGCAAATATTCCACTTTGTGCTATAAAGAGCATATAAAGAATTTTGCTCTGTTTTATTCCTGCCACTTCTGGAGTACAAACTCATTTTTAAAAAATAAAGTAACTTTTCAAAAATCATTGTGCATTAGGATAGATAACCCATACTCATGGTTCTATCTGGGGGATGTCTTTTGGGAAGAGCTGGATGTCCTTTTTCTATGCACTAATATGGGAAAAGAAAGATTTGTATTTTGTGGCTTCCTTCCACCTCTCCACCTAACAGGCTGTGAGTCACCTGTCCAGGTGCTGGGGAAAGTGTAGGTCAAGAGATGTAACTGGTAGATTAAGAGCAGTGTGTGCTAGAAAATTCAACACCAGCTTTCCAGGACACAGATGTGCCCTCCGCATTTATAGGTTTGTTTGTTTTTGTTTTGTTGGTACTGGAGATTGAACCCATGACCTTGTGCTTGCACTTGAGCCGTTAAGCTAAATTCCTGGACCTCATAAGTCTATTAATAATTCACTAATATAAAGACTGTGTGCTTCATAATTTGTACATAATAGGGAAACACATTTTTCTTAATCATCAATGCCCTGCAGCCACCTGGTCTCATAGAAAGCTATTACTGACTTTTGCCATCCTGGGCCGGAGAATAGCAGGGCTGGGCTGAGCAGCATTGGCGAGGACCAGAGCAGGTATTTCCATCTATGGTAAGGAATGGATCGAAGAGAAACAAGACATCTGTTAAAACTACAGCCTTAGTCCGTTGGGGGAGTGACTTCTGCTCAAAAGGGCAATGAACAGTTTATAAATTCTCCGAGAAGATTCCTCAAGCTTTTGTTACTCACCTTGACTGTCAGGTCAAGAAAATCCACAAAACAAACTGACCCTGGGTTTGTAGGTTTGTAGTATTTGTCTGCGCCTGTGGTATTGACACTCACAGGGTCATAATTTGCCAAGATAACTCGACTGACCAGGAACTTGGTGTATCACCCAGTACTGCCACCTTACAAACACTGCCGACCTGTGCAGACCACGCTGTGTGGCCAATGCTAAAATCTAATAAATAAGTAGGAGGCAATGGGGTCTAAGTGCTGATGACCTGTGTTTTAGGGTAACGTACCCTCTTACACTTCATATAACTTAATATTACACCTAAAGCATTTATTTTATTTTTACTTTTTTGGCTTTTCTGAGACACAGTCTCACTAGGTAGTATTTGAGCTCAGTGACCCTCCTCTACAGAACGCCCACAGAGAACCTGCCTCCAGGGCTTTCCTGAGTCCAGAGCCTGGTGGCCCCACTGCTGCTCTGCACAGGAAGGGGGAGCCCTGATTGAGACCTTCTGACAGCAGTCAGGTCCCCACCTCAGCTCCAGCTGGTTCTCCCTGAGGCTTGGGGAGCAGGGACAGAACAGGAAAGAGAGCCCTATGCTGACCCCAGCTCCC